TCGACTTTTTAGCCCTATAATAAATGGAAATAATTATATAAAAATGCATCATATGCAAAATATCGACCGGCTAACTCTTAGATGGTGCATATGCACATGTACCAATCATTTGCGATTTTTCATCATCCGAAGATTGAAGAATCGATCGATGATTAAAATATATCTCTTGTATCAAATTTATTTAAAAAAGAAACCATAGGGGACCCATTTACGGGCCATACAAATACGATTTTTCTTATTCGAAATGATGGTCAGCATAACAAGTCTTTGTTAGGCATGACGCCTCCGGCCCGGCCCGGCCCGGATGATAAGAGTGGAGAAAATGATTTTGTTAGCGGAATGAATATTTAGAGGTTGGGGAATCTAATCAATTATAAACCACAAATCATACACAACTAACATAAGTCATTGTCAAAGAAAGCGATGTTTATATATTGAGTGAGTCCTATATATGCAATAAAATACGTGTGTCTTTATTTTTAATTTTCTTTTTATATATTCAAACAAAAAAAAAAAAAAAATTAATTTCGTTTTGATCAAAATGTTCATTATCACAAAATTGAAATAATGTCTTAACATGGTTGTTATCCTTTAATGATCAGATACGATGAATCACTCTTGAATTGGATTTGTTATAATTTGTGGCAATCAAGACTACAAAAATTTTTAAAAAGGGAAAATGCAAAGCTTGTTAGCCATTTTCTGTTCAAATTCGATTAAATCAATCAATGGCATATCCTTAGAAAGTAGTAAAAATTATTAGGGTAAATTATGTTACACTCCCTTGTATTTTTAGGGTGTGTTTGTTTGGAGGTTTGGATTTTGAGTTGGGATTTGAATAGTAAAAATTTTGAATTTGAATAGTTGTATGATGTGATATAAATAGGTGTTGATGTGATGTTTTGAATGTAAAATTGATTTTTAGTATAATATAAAAAATGAAAAATAGGTGTTTGATTTGATGTTTTTGGGGGGAAAAAATTAGATGAATAGTAAAAGAAAAATCCAATCCCTCAAACAAACACACCCTTAGTAAAAATACACAAAATACTATATGTTTTATTTATTGCGTGAAATTCATCTATATTAATTTAAAATTTGCACGGAATGTTTCGTTCTAAATAAAGACCTATATTATGCAAGTCTTATACAAATAAAAAACGTAAAATATTTTAAATAATTTTTTTGAATAAAATAAATAAATAAATAATTGATTAATCTTTCATTTTATAGTTTTTTGAGACAAATTGTTATGTGATTTTTATAAAATCTATATAAATAAATTATTGATCAATTATTTATTTATTTATTTTTAAAATATTTTATATTTTTTATTTGTATAAAATTTGCTTAATTTACTTATTTATTTAGAATCAAACATCAGTTTTGGACAAAAAGTGTGTTTCGTGCAAACTTTACCTTAACACAAGGGGTTTTACGCAATAAATAAAATAGAGTGTTTTGTGCATTTTTACTAAAAACACAATGGGGTGTTATATAAGTGATGTTAGTCAAATAATTTGAGGATGCTTTGATAATTACTAATAATAAAATTCGATAAACAAGTGTATATATATACTATCAGGAAAAATATATTTTGCCTCATAACTGATTCCGATACTCTTAAAAATAGCCAACAAAATTTTTAATTTTTGTTGTCTCAGAAATTTTGAGGTCATAATATAAATAATATTATTTTATTTAAAAGATTCAATTTTTTTTGAATCCATTACAATGGTCTTTAAATTTCCAAAACTATTTATATATATATTATTTTATTTAATAAAAGGACTCAGGGGTTTTCCAATCCATTTATGGTTTCGAAATTTCTGAAACTTTATTATATATATTATTTTATTTTATTAAAAGAATTCAAAATTTTCTAAATCTATTTAAATGATTTCAAAATTCTAGAAGCTTTATTATACTACATATACTATTTTATTTTATTTTAATAAGAAGATGGGATGTTTTCGAGTCCATTTAAATATTTTCAGAAACTTTATTCTATATATATATATATATTATTTATTAAAGAAGTTCAAAATTTTTTAAGTCTATTTAAATAGTTTCGAAATTTCTGAAATTTCATTATATATATATTATTTTATTTATTAAAAATTTGAAATTTTTTGAATTCATTAATTAAACAGTCTCATTATTTTCGAAACTTTATTATATATAGTAGTATCTTATTTTAATGGTAATGTTCGAAAATTTTCAAGTCCATTTAAATGGTTTTAGAATTTACAGAACTTTATTATATATATTATTTTATTTTATAAAGAAGGATGAGAAGTTTTCGTATGCTCTTGAAATTTTAAAAAATTTATATGTACTCCATTCATCCCTAATAATTATGTAAAATTGTTTTGGGCAAGATTATTAAGAAGTCGTGTATTAAAAAGTTAATTATTTTTAATCTAATTAATTTGATAGCGATAATATGACAAAATATATTCATTTATTTAATATTTTATAGATAAAATAGATATTAATTCATTATGACATAAATAATTTTTGTATTTAAATAAATTATTTATAACAATAGTGAAACTTCAAATTATCTGCAATAAATTATTGGTATAATTATTTAGAATATAAATTAAAGTTTTTGTATTTAGTCCGATTTCCAAAAAAAAAAAACATTCAACTTTCACAAGTTTTCTATTTAAAAATGTCAAATCAAATTCTTATTTTTTATTTTTTATATTCAAAATTATTTTGCATTCAAAATATCATATAAATATATATTTTTATCCATAAAAAAATATTTAAATAATTTTTTTTATTAATTCAAAATTCAAATGCAAAATTCAAAATTCCCGATCAAAACATACCGTTTAGTATTTATTAATTATGAAATGCATTGTTTAAAATCTTAAAATTAAAATTATTTTTATATTTAGGATTAATCAACTCGGTCGAGCTCGGCTTGAGTCCGATTTTTAGTGTTACTACAAAAAAAAATACTCCTCCGGTCCCAAATTAGAGAGGCTCTTTGTAGTAAATTAAAAAATAATAATATTTTATTAGTTAGTGGAAGTATGTAAGAATTTTTGATAGTTTTGCATTTTGATTTTATATACAAAATAATTGTATGTGCAATGATATATTTGTAATTAAAGTAAAAATAAGAGTATTTTGGTATTAGTATATGATTACTTTTCTAAAATAGAAAATAGATACTTTGAAGTGAGACAGACGAAAATGGTAAAAATGGTATATTGAATTAGGACAGAGGGGGTATCTAATTAACTACAATATTTTTAACTATAAAATATTTGTTACAGTTAAAAAAGTGTCATTAAACAAAAATAAATAAATTGTTGCTAAACATAAAATTATTTATTACAAAATTAATTTCGTTGTTGAAATTTTTTTGTTACAAAATCTTAGTTTGATAGCAAAAGAATTTTAGCTACAAAATCATATTTCATAGCTAAAACTATTTGGCTAAAAAATTCATGCATATTTTCTTGCTAAAACTATTTGGCTAAAAAATTCATGCATATTTTCTTGCTAAAATTCTTTTGTTATGAATTTTATTTTTATAACAAAAAAGCTTTAGCTACAAAATTATATTTTTGTACTTATATATTTTTTCTTAACTTTCACTACAAAGAACATATCTTTCGTTACGAAAGTCAAATTTGTCGCTAAAAACTTTTACCAATGTGGTATAGGTGACGAAACGTTTTTACTACGAATTTTTTGTAGTGTGTCATACCTGAATCGAATTTTTGGGTCATGTTCATTTTATCTTTATCCTAATTAAATATAATTAAAAATATAGATAGTTTGATATAGTATGCCCAAAATACCGAGTCATATTGTATACTGTACCAAATATTTTATGTTAAAAATATATATTAATACCATATAAAAAATTTGGTATACAAAGATTCAGTAAAATAAATATATACGGTACCGTTTCATATCAAAATAGTGAATTATTAAAAATATTATTTCATACTGAAATACTGATATTAAAATAATTAATATATAATCTTAGAAGAAAAATTAAAAATAATAAATTTGATATCGAATTATAAATATCAAATGATATACCGTATTTATGATATATACCAAAATATCGAAATATCGAAACAATATCAGTATTTTGGTATACTGAAAAATATATTATATATATATTGATTTTGTACAAAAATTTTGTACATTATTTGTATTTTTCTATTAGATATGCGCGGTATTTCAAGAAATTAGTATATTTAACATCATTAATTAAAAATAAATTATTGAAATAATCATAAGTAAAACTTTAAGGTGTGTTACCCACAAAAACTTCCGAATACTTTACAATTGATATTATAAAAATACAATATAACATACATTCTTAAAGTAAATAGTTATAATATATATACAATCGTAAGAAATGAACAATTCAATATGAAATATTATTATTTATATTAACATGTTTTTACGTACTTAACTTAAAAAATATTTTAAACTAAAAATAATAAATAAATATACACTAAATAAATTAATTTGATTTGATTTTTTTTTGTTTAAATTATTTTTCATGTTTGTTGTTACACTACAAAAAAAATTGACCATTTGTAGCAAAATCTCATCCGCTACAATTTTTTTGTTACAAAAACTATTTTTTGTTCCGTATATTTTCGTAACAAATAGTTTTTTCGGTTTGGTCAACATTTTTCTTTTGTTGCGGTATTTTTTTCGTTACAATTACAATACTTTTTATTTTAAATTTCATACTAAATCTAAAATAATCATAACTAATATATCACATATATATCATATATATATATACACATATATATCATATATATATTAATATATACAAATTGAAATAAAAAAAAAATATTATTTAAAATTGAAACTATTATATACAATAAAAATTAAAATTAAAATTAAAACTAAAATATTTTTAAATAAACCCTAGCCACCCAATTCATATATTTTGTTTCGTTTTCTCTGTTCTTCTTCTTTCCTTTCTTCTTCGTCCTCTTCGTTCTTCTTCGTCTTCTTTGTTCTTATTTGTCCTTCGTTCTTCTTTTTCTTTCTTTTTCTTCTTCTCCTTCTCATACGTCCGCCTTCACCTTCCTTTAATTTCTCCGCGCTGCACCCTTGAACGGCGCGTCATCTCCACCTTCGTCGGCCGTTAATCGCGCTCCGCCGCCGTCTTCCTCGATCTGTCGATAGCGACTCACCGCTGCCTACCAACGTCCTGAAATGCCAACTCTAGATCTTTCCGTGAGTTTGGATTTATTTATTGTTCTGTCTTATTGTTTGTTGTCGATGTTTATTTAGATGGAAGAAATTTTCAGTAAGATTGGACCAATAAGAAGATGCTTTATGGTTACCAAAAAAGGTAGGCTAATCTAGTGCCCACGTTGAATTTGAGGATCACCTGAAACAAGTTTATGATTTTAAATATTGTGGACAACCAAAAGAATAATACTTACATGGGATGGAATTGATTTTAAAATTGCTTGTTTTGAAGTCAAAAGTTCATGATTGTTTTATTTCTTCTACCAAAAACATTTTGTCTAGACTAAACTTTTATTTTTTATTGGTCTTTGCTTGTTTTTATATTAGGATCAAGTGAGCATCGAAGGTTTGGCTATGTTCAATTGTAAGTAAAATTTGCTTTTTTAATAATTTTTTTCTGGATTTTATGAGTAGTACTAGTTTTGATATTGATTCTCAATTGTAAGTGTTGCTGTTGAAGATACTAAACGTTCCATTGAGTTGAAGAATTGTTTAGCTGTTGGAGGTAGAAAGATTCTAGTTAAAATGTCATGTATGGTGCTCATCTTGAGCAGCTTCGAACAAAAGACAATGAAGGTGTGTTATTTTCAAATTGTTGCATCTTTTATGTGTCTTTCTTGCCTCACCATATAACACATTAGTTGATAGATGAATATTGTGTTCTTTTCTTGTTTCAAATTTATTTTTTACAAGTTTATGATCATTTTGAATTTTTGTCGCTATGTTTGGGATTCTTAATTTTCTTCTATTCAATATGGAGATGCTATCAAACTAGAGAGTAACAATAATAAGGCTTTGTAATTCAATATGGGTTATGTATATGAGGTTTGTATCTAATTTGGAATAGGAATTTGGGCTGAACTTGAGCAATTTTGATTGACATGCTGCTCATGAATTTATTTTACTTTACTCCAGATTTAATTTGCTTCCGTTGTTTAGCTCTTTAGAAGTGTGGATTTGTGGTGTAGAATGTTATCGTGTATGAATTAGCTATTATTAAACTAAATATTTAGAATATTTAATTAGGCTTATTTAGAATATTTAACAAATATTGATGTAAAACTAACACTCTTTCATTAGGCTTATGAGAAGCTGTATACTGCAGGGAGTTCAAGTTGAAGCTAGCAGAACCATGAAAAGTTAGCCATGAACAAAAATGTTGCTCTTTATCCTGATACCAAATACTATTTATTGCCCACCTCTTGGCTGTCAAAGTGGAGAAACTATATTAATGCTAGTTGGAAAAATGCTCCTTTTGCCGAAGTAGATACGATCGATACTGTTATTGATAAGCTTCTGTGTAAAGAGGTTTTCTGCAATCCTTTTTTCTTTTATTCCATCTTTATTTTGAAATTTGTTCTTTTTATTTCTTCAATTCGTTGTGTGAACCTTTGGGGCAGTAAATTTGCACAATGCTAGTCATGTCCCACGGTGTTAAGTGGTGGATACCTTATATATGGCACTCGTGTAAACTAAGAGTTGGCTATATTTCTTCTATTCTTTGTCACTATAATGTACATGATATATATGCTTCCTGACTTCCATAATTTGAATCAGCATTGTAGACTACTCGAGAGGCCCTCAGAACTCGTTTGGAAGAGGGATCTTATTTTCCAAAAGTCTGCTGCTGTAAGTGTTTTTTGAAATATCGACTTTCTTTTGCCTCAAGCTCCTTCACCCTTTCTCTAATATGTCAGGTTGATCTTTTTTAAGAAAAATTTGTTGGTGGGACTTTATTTTCATATTTGATCAAATCCTTTAATACTTGTGAAGCCAAACTATGCTTGAGTAGTCTACTATCATGTTTCCGTTTTACTGTATTCTAGGCAGATCAACTGACATTTGTTACGGAGGATGATTGGAAATTACTCTGTGAAGATTGGGGTGGTACATTGTCCAAATGTATTGCCGCCAGGTAAAACAGTTGTATCTGTGTCTTGGCTTTGAATTGGTTGCTGAGCCAGTTGAGTTACCTTCTCTTCTGATGTCAGATTTGTGCATGTCATCAAGTTTATTTTCTCCTTTATTAGTAGGTTTGTGAGGAGTGTATTGGTGAAAGGGAAAGCTCTGAATTGGTGATGAACTTAATTATACCAATGAGGATATTTGTGTTTCTTTAATCCGCGGTAAGGAGCCTCCCAAATCAATCTTGGAAGCTTCAAGATACTTTTTTTTTTTTGTTATTACTAAAAAAATAAAGATACTCTTTTTGTTGTGAAATTGTGTTCGTTACAAATACCGGTACAAAAAATTATGAATGTCGTTTAAAATATTTTTTTGACAATCAGTTTATTGTAACAAAAATTAAACCGTAACAAAAGCCATTACAAATGCATGAACATTTATTGTAACGACTCTTTTATTACGAGAAACATCTGTTACAAATAAATCAAAAAACATTGTTAGCGTTACAAAAACCGTTACAAAAAGATTTCTCACGCGCGTTGACTGTCCACTTTTTGTTACGGAAAATGTCGGTACATAGACTTTTTGTAACTCGAGTATATGCACTGGCCAGAATCCGGTACAAAATCGTTACAAATAGCTTTTTATAACGAAAAATGGCCATTTGTAGCGGTTTTAAAGCCGCTACAAATAGCCATTTTTTTGGTAGTGTTACAATACATTTATATATGTTAATTTTTTATTAAGCTTCAACTGCACAACACACCATAGATTAATTTGAATTAATTAAGATTTAAGTATTCCTATCCCGTACAATATAAAGTATACATTATTTTTTGTGTTGATATTAGAATATTAATTATTATTATCAAAATATAGTACTAATCAAGATAAAATGACAAAAATACATCTATTAGTCTCTTATAACACAAATACAATGTTATTTGTCGAGCAAATTATACAAATATAATAATATTTTTAATGTTAAGTATAATGATACAAAAACAATGTTATACTCATGAAGGGTGTATTAAATTTTTTAATTTTTAATTTTTATTTTTTTTATAGAAAGTGTATATTTGGGTAGGATAGCTAAAAAGAAGAAAACTGACATATTTTGGTGGGACAAAAAGAGAGTACTATCTTGTGTCAGGCGGCGGTTGAGGTGTTGATTTGGTCAAATTAGCACTATGATAATTTGACTAAATCAACAAAGTAACATGAAGTAATTAGCAAATCATCACACAATATATACCCTATTATCAAGTTAACACATTATCCTAAAATAATTAGCAAATCGTCACAAAACAGATAATATATGTTGTATTATATAATGTATTATATATATTATATTAATATTTGCTAGTTTCTGTATAGACATTTTTTGATCAAATCAAATTACTATTGTGCTGAATGACAATATATTTTGCTGAAATCAAAATATACTTTACTACATGTAATTATATAATATGCTATTCAAATATGTGTTACATATTATATTATTATTGATATTTATTTATATGATGCTAATTTGACCCAATCAAAACGGTAACTGAAACGCTTGTATTAATAAGAAGACTTAAAAGTTTTTGAATTCATTAATAGTTTCTAAATTTTTAAAATTTTATTATATATATACAGATATTGTTGTGATGGATTAGGATTAATGATCCAATAACAAATATAAAACGTAAAGAAGACACAAATTTACAAATTTACGTAGTTCACTAAAAATGAGTTGTCTACCTCAACGGACAGAAACATAGAATAGATTTTATTGCAGGATTTGAGCCGCTTGGCCGCATGGCCTGGCCATAAGACATGCTGTTAGAATGAAAATACATGCCTATCTAAATCATATCCCTAGATTCAAAGCATATTAATATATATATATATATATATTATATTTTATCTTATTAATAAGGCTTGCAAGTTTTCAAATGCAGAAAACTTACGAAGCTTTACTCTATAACTTATTTTATTTTATTAAAATATAGTCCATTAAAAAAGATTTGGAATTTTCGAACCTTTACTATATATAATTTTATTATAATAAGAATTTTCGGAAGTTTTTGAGTCTATTTAAATAGTTTCGAAATTTTCGAAACTTTATTGAACAACTTGTTTATATTTAATATTAAACTAATAACTTCGTAAATTAGATTGTTTCTCTAAAAAATTCTGAAGCTTTTATTTTCATACCTTTCCTCCAACTTCTTAATATTTGTCGTGTTAAATTTTTCTGTTCAAACTTAGTAACTTACTAATTCAAAGTAATTTTTTCTCATTTTTTCGGGTGATTTTTTTAAAGAAAAACAATCGAGTTTTCTTTGTTTTACTAATAATTTTATAATAAATGTTCATAATTGTCTAAATGTTAGTTTACTTGGTAATAAAACTAAAATTTCGGTTAGATTAACAAATAAAATTAGTTATATTATTTTAGTGTATTATTTACTATTTTATGTTCTTTTATTGTATTCTTTTATTTTTTTTCTTTTATTGTATTATTCTTAGATTAACAAGAAATATTACTTGTGTGTATATTTGTGAGATTTTGATTTTTAGATTTTTGATTTAGAATAGTAAAATTTTGAATTGAAATATTTGTTTAATTTAATATAAATAAATTTTGATATGATATTTTGAATGTAAAACTAAATTTAAATGTAATATAATAAATAAAAAAATAAAATTTGATTTGATATTTTAAAAAAGTATAATTGTTTGATTTTATAAGTGAATGGAAAGAGTATATTATATTATAATATATATTTAATATTTTAATAAAAATATAAAACTCATAATTATATATTAATAATTTCTTGTCTATTATACATAGTTCATTTAGTATGACTTTTTTTATTGGCATAATTTGCAGGTTATTACGTTTCGCTGGAAGTTAACCCAATGCGTACTAACTGAATAGTAGTTGCGAGTTTTGAGATTACTTGAAAAAAAGGTACAACAATTCTCAACAATTATGTAAAGAAATATTACACACCTAAATATATACATATATATATGACATTTTTCATAATTATTAAGCAAAATAGCAAAAAAAAAAAACCTCTATGGTTTACCAAATCTGCTAAAAATTCCTTATAGTCCTAAAATATTAACAAATCTACTCCTGGTTTGTAAAACGTTGCACACTCGCCCCCCTTTAAATCACACTGACACCATTAAAGTTTAGCTTTATCAGACCGTTATGTCCCTGTATTTATTTTTTACTTGGCATTTTTATTTTCTCACAGCATTTTCCATTTTTACCCTAAATCTTTTATTCTCTTATTGTCACTTGTCGCGCGATCAAGAAACCCATCAGCAGAGGGATGGTGCCGTTGCCCCACCCCCCACCCCCCGTTTCACGCTGCCTTTCGCTCATCCTTTCGTACACTGTCACCCGCACCGACGATCGACTGGATCGACGACACCGTCACTTGCTCGGTTTGCAATGTCCTCCCCCTCATTAGCCTTCCCCTCCAACACCACAGTCTCCATCCCCCGTCTGCCCCACCCCCAAGCCTTCTAGGGCTTACTTGTGATTTTTTAATTTGGTAAAATTTCTCAAATCTCTCCTCCCCGCTCGTGAGTAGGAACATTCGTGTATGTCAAAAATAAATTTTCTAGTTTGATTTTGGGTTTAAAGTGAACTTTACGTCGGACACAGATACGTGTATTTTATTGAAAAATTTTGTGGTCAAGTTACTTTATTTCCTTTTTGTTTTGTGTATTTTGTCGTATCTCTGCAATAAATTTAGTAATTTTGTAGAAAGTTAGATTTTGTTGGTTGTAAGATTCAATGTGTTGTCCCGCAGATTGCACGTTCTTGAGGTTATTGTGGTCCCCGACATAATGGACCAGTTTGTGACAATATATATGTGGGTGGATGGGTATACCGAGTATGAGGGCCCCGCGAAGCGATACAAGGGTGGCAGATGTGTTTGTTTCCCGCGTATCGATAAGGATAAGTTCTACTTTGGTGAGATCTTGAACATGTACTGTTGTGCAGGAGGAAGGGCAGGTGTTGTAGAGTTCATACATCGGAGCCCCGATAGTCCCCATGGTGCAAATCTCAAGGGTCCAGTGCATACCATTAAGTGCGATGAAGATGTTATGAATATGTTTAAAATTCACTATGGGAAAAATATAATTTATATATATGCCAAGGATAAAGGTTTGCTGATGCACATATGTGATGACACTAAGGGTGTCGAGGATGATAGGGGTGATGACACTCATGAGGGTGAAAACGTGCATGAGAAAAGAGTAACGGATGATGTGTGCGGAAACAAGAATAAAGGTTTTCAAAGCTACGGATTTGAGGAGTTAACCGGTAGATTTGATCCGCAGGATGAAGAAAGATTTCAAAAAGGGAAAGGCATTGCAACTCTAGACTCGGAAGAGGAAAGCAAGGAGGACGATGAGGACAATGATGAAGACGATGATTCGCAAGGGAATTTCGAGTACATGGGTGTTGAGGAACCCGTGTGGACCGATTACACGGAGGGAATGGGCAATCGTGGTTGGTATGAGGCTGGATCGCATGCAGAAGAAGGGGCAGGTAAACCTCATGGATGTTTTCTTTTCACATATGGATTTGACATGAATACATTGCTTATGTTATGTTTCATTGTGTAGATGTGAGCAATGACGATGAAGATGACGATGATGATGACGGTGATGATGACGATGATGAAGAAAATGACGATGACGATGATGAAGACGATGACGATGACAATATAGATGCCGACGAATATTGGGAGGAGTTGCGGATTTATCGGGAGAGTCAACGAAAGAAAACTTATGAGGAAAATTATGACGACGAGGATCAAATCTTGGATAGCGGAGAGTGGGACAGTGAGGATGCAGAAGGTGAAATTCACTCAGACACTTCCCTCATGGATGAGGGAGCAGCAGAACCCGGTGAGAGTGATATACCGATGGATGAATCTCACCTAGCGGATGAAACCGAGGCAACTGGAGAATGGGATCACGGGACGGGGGTTAAACGACCACAAATGGGTGGATTAGTGATGAACTGAGCGAGGAGGATGGGGTATTGCGCAGTCCGCCATATTCTAACGACACCCGGGGGCCGGCCTACGAGGATTTAGATGATAAAATGGAGGAATCCAACTGTTATTTCAAAGTCGGGATGAAATTTGTGAACTGATTGAAATATAGGAAAGCCCTTTGTGACTAGGCTGTACGGCGTGGGTGGGATTGGAAGAAAGAAGGTTACAACCGTATGCAAGAAGGGTTGTCCATCATGGGTGGAGACACCTTCCAGATCATGGGTGGAGACACCTTCCAGATCAAAACCCTGAAGGGTACCCATCAATGTTCACACTAGTCGACCAATGTGCAAGCAAACTACAAGTACCTTGGAAGGAGGATAAAAGATACGGAGGCAGATAATCCGAACATATCTATACCTGCATTGAAGATGAAAATTCGGAGGGAGGTACGTGTTGAGGTGACTATGTACAAACCGGGCGAAGCGATATGCTTTGGAATTGATCAAGGGTAGCACATCGGAATAATACAAATGCCTTTACGATCACTCCGCGACAGTGTGCATATTCAACCCGGGTGGCAGCCGTATTTTGTCCATCGATCAGGGGGTTAGTCCGCCGGTGCTCAAGCGAATGTACTATTGTTTGGCAGCTTTGAGGGAGGGATTTAAAGCATGCTGTCGCACTATCATAGGGCTTGACGGTTGCTTCTTAAAGGGGATTTATAACGGGCAGCTACTTACGGCAATAGGGAGAGATCCGAATGAAAATATCTACCCCATCGCCTTTGTATTTGTCGAGATTGAGAAGTTTGAGACGTGGGATTGGTTCTTGGAGCATTTAATGAGGGATATGGGTGATTCTAGAACCGGGGAATGTTCTTTTAAATCTGATTGTCAGAAAGGTTTGGTGGAGGCGATTGCAGAACGAGCGCCAAGAGCAGAACATCGTTTCTATTTGCGTAATATGTACAACAACTTCAAAGTTCGGTTTAAGGGATTGGAATTGAAGCGTCTTTTCTGGAAGGCAGTATCCACATTTAATCTGAAGGAGCATGAGAAAGTGTTGCGACAGATTCATCGATACGATGTAGCAACTGGGACTGAGGAAACTGCGTACGCATGGTTGAGTGAGATCTCACAACAGCACTGGGCACTGGCCTTTTTCCGGGTACAAACAAAGAGCGATGTACTCGTGAACAACATGTGTGAATCCTTGCATCGGTATATTTTTGAGACACGGGACCTACCAATAATTGATATGTTCGAGTGGATACGATGAAGGTTGATGGTTCGAATTCAAACAAAAAAGGCGGCGATCGAGAAATTCGAGGGAATTGTGTGCCCTAAAATCATGAAAAAGGTGGAGCTGGTGTAGAAGGCTAGCCGCAACTGTTTTCCATCATGGGGCGGCGACAACAAGTACGAAGTTATGCACTTCACGCAGAACCATGTTGTTGAGCTGAACCAACATATGTGCACCTACGACATGTTCCAAATTAGAGGATATCCTTGCTGCTATGGAGTGCCTGTGATCGAGTACCAGAGACTTACGGTGGAAAATTTCGTAGATGCCTACTTCAAAAAGGAAACGTACATGACAGTGTACACCCATGCGATAAACCCCGTCCCTGGAATACATGAGTACGAAGAATCCATGCTTGGGGAGGTGGCACCTCCGGTCGTGAAGGTTCGCACTGGGCGTCCGAAAAAAGCTCGTCGGCGCGACGGTAATGATGAGCGGCAGGATGGTAAAGCATCTTAACATGGATTGATGACTACTTGTTCCAAATGCCATCGACAAGGGCACAACAGACGGAGTTGCAAAAATGATCCGCAACTCTCTAAGGTGATTCTTGTACTTATGAAGTGTTTTTTACTTTTTTGTTTATCTTGTATTGGTTCTTACCCTAAAGTGTGTTCTTGTATAACACAACGAAAGCTCTCACGAATCGGGCGAGAGATCATTGTTCACAACCCGAACTCCAGGTAAGCAGCCACCTCAGTTTGTTGTCACTTCTAAAATGTGTTTAACACTTATTTCCAACTAATGCTGCTTTTTAAATGGATAGAACACGTCAAGGAAAGTTCCTATCAATCGGCCGGACGGACACTGCTCCCAGTCCGAACAGGTAGCCATCTAATTTTTTAGGCTACTTAGCTATTTCTGGGATATATTTTTTTGGAAAAAGAAGATTGATTTCGCTGCTACTTGGATGACATGGTAGGTTGCCTCTGACGTACAACCGTCACCAGACTGCGCACCAACAATGCAATCGTCTCAGATGCAATCGCAGGGTCCATCGGGGATGATAGACGGAAGTGAGGGGAGTTGACATGCATCGTTGTCATCACTGCTCTAAAGTGTTCGGTTTTCACTCAGGCCAAGGCGTTAGGGGCCTTCAGGTGGTGCATCTTCCCGGGGTCATTAATGAGATTCTATCGATGTCTGTATTGGATGCGTGCACGGGTACCCGGAGTAGTTTGTTATCATATGTGTTTGTTACTATATAACCTATTAGCATTGGACACAATTATGCATATTAGCCCCGACATTTTTTGAATCGGATCGAGGATATAATGTGGGTTGTTGTATTTTTATGTAGATTACATTTTGGATATTTTGTTTCATGCCTAAGTTGTTGGAAGTATTGTAAAATTGCAGTGTTTGTTAAGGAATTAATATTATGCCATGTATGTTGAAGTGTTTGTTTGGGCCGTATTGTTGTGGCTTGTGAGGTTAAAGGCTTAATTTTATGGCTTGTTAATGAAGATTTAATATTATGGCGTTTTGTTATGGCTAAGTGATTGGCACACACATTTCAACATGTAAAAATAAAGAACGAAACTGTATGCTGTTTACACACACCATTATGGTGCATTGTATTGCAAATCAGAAAAACACATTACAACTACTGCCTTGACTTTATCACCCCTGCTGTTACTACGACACCGGTACGTTACACCCACCTACAACTACAACGAAATCTACCCTGCTACTACGACAGCAGACGAACCAATACCACAATGAGTTGAACACATACCAACTTCTTAAAAAAAGACCTTCGGTATGGTAATCACCATAACAACAACCATGAGAAGCTTGACATACGTCAGTCTTGTTCGGAAGGCTTTTATTTCAGAATGTAGTTCTTCCACAACCACCTTTAGTTTAAACATTTCATCTGCAACCCCCTTTGTTTCTTTGAGTAGCTCCCCGTCAAATGCAGCAGATTGAACCTCTGAGTCGTTCACATCATCCCCATCATTGCTCCACTATCCGACGCGAGTGCTCACAGGATCAAGCCAACGGAAAAAATCACAGGCTCCAACTCAGAAATTACAAAATAATTTTCCTTGAGTTTCCTTCATTGGACCGACGACACGGATTGCCACAAAAGTCCCACACTTGCAAGTAAATTCATATATGAGCCATACGGACTCACTTCATATCGTTGTAAATTATTAGAAAAATTATAAATTATAGAATCACGATTTCGGCCCTAGTTAAAAAGACAAAATTCACTTCAAGACAAACAGAGAGATGTAAAAAGTTAGGGTTCAAAAAATTGCAGGGTTTCAAATAATTCCAACCAAAACAACGATTCAATATTGCTAGTAACACCAATATTAAATTAGAAACAAATTACCAGAATACATTTCCCCCAGAAGACACCCGTTTTCTGCAAAAAATCAAGAGACCCAAACCCGACAACGATAACACAGAACTTGTAGTGGATAAACATTCTAACCAAAATTGTTGTCTCCCGACAGAAAACACATTGCTATAGTACAATCTAAAAGTGATGGGAAAAATCGTATTGAGACCAAAAAACACCTAAAAACAGAACCGCCGGCACACCTAAAAAACACCCAAAAAACACCTAAAAAACACCCGAAAAACACCTAAATTCAACTACTGTTACATACGGGCGGACCTGAAGTTTTGGAAACGAACCGCCGGCAGGGTGGAGGCCGCTGCGGTAGGTGATGGAAATCGACGAGCAATTTCTGGAGGAAGAAGAAGCAGTGCGAATGAGAGAAAAGTGAATAATAGAATGGCGTATTTAAGTTAATAAACCCATGGGGTATTTTTGTAACTTCCCTCTCATATATATGAATTTCTGGAGCAAACATCGCATTTTAGGCGTGTGACAGACACTTGCGGTTAAGTCCTAACGGAGAGGGTGTTTCCTGCAATGTTTTACAAAGCACGAGTAGGTTTTTTGGAGTTTTAGGACTACGGGGGGTCTTTAGCAGATTCGGTAAACCACAAGGTTTTTTTTTTTTTTTTTGCTATTTTGCCTAATTATTATAATAAAAATAAGGTAAAATTTCTTATAACTCCTCTGTGGTTTCTAAATTTAGCGTAAAATCTCTCTGTACTTTAAAAAATACATGACACCCCCTTATACTTTAAAAAATATTTAATGAAACCCCACCATGATGTAACCTCCCTTGTGTGATGAGAAGATAATTTCCTATCTATATGTTTTGCATAGCGAGGGGGTTTCATGCATATTTTTGAAAGTATAAGGGGATGTCATGCAACTTTTTAAAGTAAAGTGGGGATTTACGTTGAGTTTCAAAACCACAAAGGCGTTTCATGCAATATTTTTAAAATTATAAGGGGGCGCTATGCAATTTTTAAAGTAAAGGGGAGATTTACGCTGGGTTTCGAAGCTACAAGGGAGTTATGACCAATTTTGCCTAAAAATAATGACTTGAGAATCATTTACGACTATAAAAGGTCTCGATCAAGGGGATCAATGTTAGAACTTAATTATGATATTCATTGAGAATAATCTTATATTAATTTGGTGTTGTATAATAAAGTTTGATATATATTTTAATTTAGTGAATATTGAATAATGGATTATATAATAATATATGATTGAGTGAATATTGGATAATGAATTAATGATATTTGTGTTTTTCTATTATATATTCATATATATTGTAATAGTTTTGTAGAGGGAAAGTAATGAGAAATAAAGTTTATTTTTCCTCCTCAATTACGCCATATTTTTTTAATTTTCTATAAGTGGTATTAGAGCTAAATCCATGAATGGCTCGATCACATTATCCCCGCTGGTTTTTGATGGAAAATCTTTTAATCGATGGACCATCCAAATGAGAGTGCTTTTCGATTTTCATGAATTACTGAATATTTTTTAAGAGGGTGTTCCAGCATTACCGGAGGGTGCAATTACTGCATAACAGAAAACCAGTTGAGAGAATAAGAAAAAAGATAAAAAAAAAAACCATATATCTTATTCATCAAGGTGCTACAGGCCCATGAGCAGCGTATGAATGAAAAACAATTGGCGAAGCCAATTGAGCAAGCCTTCCAAGGTTCGGTGTCGCTTAATATACCAAACAAAGCGATGAAGCCTAGTCGTGGAAATTCACGTAGAAGAGGACGTGGCCGTGGGGGTCGCTATAACATACAATATTGACACGAAAAAATTATGGCAGCTTGGTATAATTTTGATAATTCCAATTCAAGACATCAAAGAGGTCAAAATTACAGAGATCGTAATCGATGGCGCGGTTGGAACAAAGGAAGGTTTGACAAGTCAAATGTTGAGTGTTATACTTGTCATTCGGTCATTATTCTAATGAATACATATACAAAGGAATTGACCAAAAGACACATTATGCACAAGAAGATGATGATTAAGATGATAATGGCCACAATTTTTTTATGGTTATTTTTACCAATGAAGTGTCAAACTCTCATACATGATTTCTATATACCAAGTGTACAAATCACATGTGCGGTAGACGCAAGATATTTGTTGAAATTGATGAATCTGTCTGATCCTAAGTTAAATTTTTTGATAATAGCACATTACTAATTATGGGGAAAGGATGCATCCTTATTAAGCTAAGGAATGTAGACACAATTTCATATTAGAGGTCTTCTATGTGCCAACTATGAAAAATAATTTCCTAACCATGGACCAAATGTTGGAGAAAGGATATGAAATGCATTCTAAATGGCGTTATTTGTCGATTCTCGACAAAAAAGGTACACTTATTTTGAAGACCATTTTAAAAAATAATCATATGTTTCAAGTTGATATTCCTAGCGATGTGTATACATATCTTAATGCAATGGTGAAAGATGAGTCTTGGTTATGGCATCTTCGCTTTGGTCACTTGAATTTTCAAAGCTTGCAGAAAGGATTATGGTGAAAGGCTTGCCAAAGATCGATCACTGAAGCATGCATTTCAGGAAAGCAAAGCATTCAAAGCTGAAAATAATTGGTGGACGAATCACATACTGGGTCTTGTTCACTCCGATGTTTGTGGCCTGATGAGTGTTGAATCTCATGACAACAACAAGTACTTCTTGAGATTTATTGATGATTTTTCTCGAAAGATTTGGGTTTATTTGCTACCTAATAAATCTACAGTGTTCACAAGCTTTAAGAAATTTAAAGCCCATGTAGAAAAATAAACACTATAAAAAGGTTGTGAACGAATGGTGGCGGTGAATATATCTCTTTCGAGTTCAAGAGTTTCCTAAAAGATCGTGGAATCGAGCATCAGATAACTCTACCTTACACTCCTCAGCATAATGGAGTTGCGGAGCGGAAGAATAGAACCATCTTGAATATGTCAAGAAGAATGTTGAAAGCCAAAGGGTTGCCAAATTCTTTTTGGGGAGGAGTTGTCGCTTGTTCTGTGTATTTGTTGAATCGGTCTCCAACAAAAGCTCTTCATGACTTGACGCCAGTTGAAGTATGGTCTGGAATC